ACAGGCCCCGAGTGGACTGGGGAGTGTCCCTGTGGCCATCAGTGACCTGGAGAGGGTAGCAGGGTGGCAGTGGGGAGCAAGCTGGCTGTGGAGTGAGGGGTAAAAGGACATTATCACTGAATACAGACCCTGGGGTGGGCAGAGGGACAGAAACCCATGCTTGATAGACCTTCCCTTTTCTTGGACCAAAGGAGGAAAGGAGAATTCTTTGGTCCAAGAAGAGGGAAGGGATTCGAGAAGGGCTCTGGGTGGGCGGTCTCCCTGAGAAGCAGAGGGCCCTGCAGATGTGGGGAGAGCCCAAAGATCACGCTGGGGTTTCAGCAGCACCGTGGGAGCGGTGTGGCAGAGAGGGATCCAGTAGGAGGCAACAGCGGCTGGTGGGATCCTTTCTGGGGCCCCACAGAGCTGGAGACACTGACTCAGGGACACCTGGCAGAGGGCCTCTCTCACCTCCATGTGGACCCATGTCTGGCAGTGACTAACCACATGGAGGACCCTCCTCCTGGCCCTTCCTGACGCTGCACCAGCAGCTCAGCCATTTTGACCCTCACCTTCCAGAACCCAGTCCCTTCCCTCCCTGCTGGCCTCGTTGGTGCCACAGTCCTCACCACTGAACATTCTCTGCTGCAACAATTTGTCAGGTATCATGAGTCCCCCAGCTCCTCTAGAAGGCCCCAAAGGGCAGAGAACTTAGCCTGTACAGGCCCCTGCTGCTTCCAAGTGCCAGGGCTGCTCCTGGCACGTGTCGGCAACTGAGAGAAATTTGTTGAGTGGACAGTGAGTTGAAGATGAAGGCCCTGAAGTGAGGAGTTTTCATCATGTCTCTCAAACTACAGAAGAACATAAGGCCATTTGCTTTAAATAATTTACTAACCAGAGGGGAGAGACAAGTAATATTTATTGTCACCGATGTGTCAGCCGCTTGCTAATCACTAAGTCAGTTGACTCTAATGTCAACCCCAGTCACAGACAGGAACATTAGCTGAACAAATTTATTGACGGGCAACGAATCTGAGGCCACACACCAGAATGGGATGTGAACCTGGGTCCCTCAGATGCCAGAGTCACACTCAGTCCACTGGGCCTCAGGCGACAGTGAAGTCCTCCACAGTCTCTACATGTTTTCGAGGGACTGTCACTTTTCTGTAGGACATATGAATGGCCGTCCTTTAAAAACACATTAAGGATGTGCAGTTCTGGATTGCCCTTAGCAGAGCCCAGCCTGTAGCAGGCCCACCTCGGAGGCAGACCTCGCCTGTCATTGCAGCTCATGGAAGTCAGGCTGGGCAGCCATGTGGTGGCCTCGCTCCCTCCTGGTGACTCTAATAAACCAGCAGCAGCATCTGTGCTTTGTCCTTGCCAAGAATGGAGAGAGGTGGCTCTTGCTGAAAATGGGCCCCTTTACATTCCCATGGTTCCTGTGGGCTCCGGTCCACCCTCCAGCCATCTCCAGGACATAGACCAGCAGACAAGGCCATGCCCCAGCTCGTCTTAGCAGCCCAGATACCCTTAAAATTCATCGAAAGCTCCTGGAAGCACAAACCAGGCCCCTTCCTTCAACTTCCTAGCTGTGGAACTGACTAGGTTGGTTTACATTAGAGGGGCCACCAGCAATGCCCAGGCTTGGTGCCGGGTGCTCCCAAAAACCTCATCATGGAAGAAGTGTCTAGAACCCAGCAAGGAGGCTCTGTCCATTAGATGGGGTTGACCAGTTTCCAGCAGTGATTCAGAAGAGGAGTTCCAAGGGTTTGGACTCCTAGCCAATGGGATAGCATGGCTCAAGCCTCTAAGACATGGCTCCTTTGGCCCATTTGGACCAGGCACCAGGTTGAGTCTACAAATATCCAGCAACAGGGGCAACAGACATTGTGCTGAGCACTTTGTGGGAATAATCTCATTCAACCTCAGGATGGTTTTGTGAAGAGGGTGATATTATTGTGCCCCTTTTATAGATGAGGAAACAGGTGGCTAAGTCACTTGCCCAAGGTCACACAGCTATTAAGTGGCCAAGCTAACATTCAAGCCCAGGCCTTTCCCACTGTGGTATTTGAACTGAGGAGGTTTGACTTTGGACTTCCACTTGCAGCCTGCAGCCTGTATTACCTCTACAAAGGTCAGCGTCTCCTCCGTTTGTGTGTCCAACGCATATTTACTGAGCACCTACTATGCTGTGGCACCACACTGAGCATTGCATGCCCCTCTGCCACATGGTAGTTCTGGCAATAACAGCACAGCACCTGGAGGCCACACAGGAGCCCCTGCCCTGCCTGGGGGACAGGTGAAAAATCATATCTATTGACCATGTGCCCAGAAATGTACTAAACTCTTCATATGCATGTTTCATTGGAATTTGGCAGAAAGTCTATGCAATGATTTTGATATTTGAGAGAAACACACCTGTTAAATGTTTGGCAATAATTGGAGATATGAAAATAATTACCAACATCATTTTTTGTTATGAAATATTCCAAAAACGCAGAAAAGGGGCAGAGAATAATATGATGCAGTTTTCTCCCTAAACTATTAGTAGGTTGTAAAGTCAACTTAATAGATTGCAGGCAAGCATTTTAATAGACTAGAATGGGCGACAATGGAAATGATCAGATGTATTATGTGTAGAAAGAGCCGTGAGCACGAACCCTCTTCAAGAGCATTATTTCAGGGATGTGTGTGTGTGTGTGTGTGTGCTCTGTATGTGTAAGATCCTTTCTTACTATAGATCATGGTCAAAGTATTTGAAAGTCCCTTCTGATATGATGAATACTTGTGTGTCCTCTATTCAGATTTAACAGATATTAATATTTTGCCACATTTGCTTCATATCTTTTTCCAAGAAACACACGTTGTAGATAGAATGAAAGCTAAGCTCTCTCTGCACCTCTTCCTGTTCTCCTTCCCTCATCTCTCCTTAAGCCCATGGACATACCTCTGATCAACCAGCCCACTGACCGGTCTGGCCTCTTCTCGGTGAGCCAGGCTCAGGTGGCTCGCCCAAGGGGGGGCTGCTCACCCATCACACCCACTCCTCCAATTCTAATCACAGGTCCTGCGTGCTTGGAGATGTTTAGAGAAACCATTTAGACATGCCAGCATGTCCTGATAAGCGCGTTTCATTGTTGACATAAAAGCCTAGAAATATGTAAACACACATCATAGGACCGGATAAGGGCCAGGGGGTCTGGACCTTGCACTCACAGCTGCGCCTCTAACAATCGGCTGCCCTCGACTTCAGAAATGGGGACCTTGAGTCCTGGGGGAAGGAGATGGTCCTCCCCAGTGTCCCCAGGGATGCGGGATGAGAGAGGAGGGCAGAAAGAGGAGGGGCAAAGGGGGGGGGAGAGAGAGAGAGAGAGGGGAAGGAAGGAGGGAAGGAAGGAAGGAAGGGAGG